CTGCTCCCCCAATAGCACCCAGTGCCTGCCTGTCTGGCCAGTAGACTGCTTAGGGCCTGAGCATCACCACCTATTCACTGTAGATGCCACTATTGGGCCAGGCACCAAACAGTAGAATCTCAATCTGGGAGTCAGAGACTTGGCAAATCGCCTCTCCTCTCAGTCCAGCGGACAAGACAAGATGGCCACGTTCTCTAAGAGAATGGCACCCTCAGTGTCATTCTGAGTGTCACTGGTGCAGAGTGAAATACACTGTGTTGGCTGTAGGCCTGACCAGCCAGGCCCCTCTCCCTCTCCCTTGGGCCAGTGGCTTGTGGTCAGGTGCATGACTTCAGTTCATACAACTGAGGTCAAAGCAACTGCACAGCCTACCCCACACAAACAAGGGGAGCAGGAGTTTTCTCTCTTGTTATATAAGCAGCCACATAATAACCTTGATTTTGTTTTTGGCCCCCAGAGCTTACAATATAAATATCTTACCATTATATAGAGAAATGTGTTAAAACATTTGGTGTTTATTTTACCTGATATCACCTTTGGAGCAAAAAAAAAATGTTATGTACAAGTAAATAAACACATGAAAGTGCTTTCAAAGATGAATGCCCATGGAGTCTCCACTTCAGTTAGAAACTGTTGCTAACGTCTAAGGGATCTGTTTTCAGCTTAGAACTGGGAGAGATCTTGGCAGTTATTCTCTAATTATTGGCCTAATGCCATTACTTTATAACAGAGCCCACAGGTAGAATTAAGAACACAAAATACCCTGCTTAAAAAGCAGGTACTCAAAGGTCTCAGTGTCTCTCTCTCTCCCTCCCGCCCTCCTCCCCTCCAACTTCCAAGTTCCAAGCACCCTTGCCTATAGCATCATGCTATCATTTCCCAAATATGTCCCCAACAAGCCATGGACTTGTTACACCTTTCTGTTGATGCTTTTTCCTTCACATGCCTTCACATGGAATGATCTTCCCATCTTCTTCACCCAATGATCACCTACTTCAGGATCTAACTCCAAAACCCCTCGCCCATCCCACATCTGTATTCTGAAGGCACTCTGACTTAGACTTGTGTTATACCAAGTGTTAGCTATTCCTGTGTTGGTCTCCCTAGGTAAACAGTGGGTGTTTGGAGAACAGGGAAATCTCATTTACAATAGCTCTGAATCCCCAGTCCCTAACGTAATAAGGAATTAATTATTTAAAGGGCATCTCATGGCTCTCCCTGTCAAAAAATAATTCTTCCATTAAGAATTATTAGGTCGGGCCGGCCTAGTGGCTCTGAGCAACAGCATCACTGGTTCGATTCCCACATGGGCCAGTGATCTGTACCCGAGCTGAGCTGCTGCTGAGCTGCCAACAGGTGGCAGGATGGCTCAGCTGGTGAGAGCAGGTGCTCCTAACAACAAGGTTGTCAGTTTGACTCCCGCATGGGATGGTGGGCTGCGCCCCCCCCATCATCCCCCCCTCCCCCGCAACTCAGATTCACCACAGCACCTTGAGCTGAGCTGCTGACGGGCGTCCGAATGGCAACTGGACTTGGGGCTGAGCTAGCTGTGCCCTCCAAAACTAAGACTGAAGGACAACAACTTGGCTGTTCCCCTTCCCCATTCCCCAATAAAATCTTTAAAAAAAAAGAGAATTATTAGGTAGACAGCAGCCTACTCCTTTTCCTTCCTTGTATAAAATGTTCTCTTCATTAGAGCCACTACTTTGAGTTAGAGAACAAAGTCTATAAGCTTTCTGATGGCAAGGTCTGCATCCTTTCATCTTTCTAATGGTGTTTACCATTATTCCTGGCACCTAACAAGTGCTGAAGTCTCCTTCAAGAATTACAAGAATAATTATTTTCAACATATAAATTACCTGAAAGGACAGAATTAATGGGGAAAAATAATCTTTTTCAGTAATACTAAATCCTTTCCTTCTGGAATTATTACTGTTAGTGTTTTGCTTTTTTTATATATAGAAATAAACAAATCACTGAATATATTTCATTTTAGAGCACAAGTGTCCAAATTGTACAAAACCAAGAGCCAAAATGCTTGTCCCTACAGATTATCTCTGGAGCATGTATATACATTCTCTTAAAGGAGAATTGGAGAAAATTGTAAGGAAATGAAGTTTGACTTTCACTTAGTATTCAGTTGTATCACACACTGGAAATGAAACCAACCAATATGAAATAAGGATGAATATCTTCTTGGATAATACGTTGGTACATAAGCAACAAGGAACATAGCATAATCTCCAAAGTATTGCTATGTCCCATACTCTTCCCTCCTGCCTGCTAAACAGCAGATAGCTTATGCAACAGGATTAGAGAGAAAGACCAGGAAAGTGATCCTCACCAATGTATACTAGTACGAAAGCACTTAATGTGCAGAGAAGCAGGATCACCAAATTTGACATTCACATGGTCTTTTGTACCTTTCTAATTGTCAGGGGTTTGGAGAGTTAAGTAGAATTCAGCCTCAATGGCCTTAACCATAAAGTTCATCAAATAGGTTAGCACAAAGGGTCCTGTGATTTAGTAGAAAGCTCATGTAATTTAGTAGAAATAATCCAATGTTTTCTAAATTTCAGAATCAGTTCAAATTTTATCTACACAATTAACTTTTGCCTTTAAGTTGAGTCACGCAGTGTTTTTTTTTAATTTTAATATATTTCAAAAAGCAACCATCACTATTGTAAACAGGAAAACCAGTGTTACTTGGCATAAATAGACATTAATGCATTGAAATGACTTTGTTAACACAAATGGTATTAAATCCTAGCTGGGTTCACTTGTTGCCTACCAAAACATTAAACGTGGTAGGGATCACTACCCCCCAAAACTGAGGACATTCTCCTTGATACAGTCACAACGATTTTGAAAAAATTGAAAAGGGGGTAACTTTCCCACTGAAGGGCTCATTGCTTTAATCCTATGTGTACCATCTGAAGCCGTTTTATTTCAGAAACATTGCAGTTCCCCTCGCCTCCACACCTTAGAGCTCCCAGAAGACAAGTAATTACAACCCTCTCCAGACTAGATCTAAATAAAAGAAACTGATCACACTAGTAGATCTGGTAGAGCGGGTAAAACCTTACAACTCAGGGCAGTAGGTTTCAAAAACCCACCAAAGTTCCAGAGATCTAATTACTGAAGGAAAAGGTCACCCTACCTCCATTAACTTAATTTTTTTGAACAGGCGGGATTGAGGAAAGAACCAGAACACAGACCTGGAAACGATCTAGGAATGCTGTAGGTGAAGATTCCTCCCAAGGCACTTACTTGGCAGAGGTGCGACGACCCCTTGGATGGCTGGGGTCTGGCTCTGTACTAGAGAGGGCAACTGTTCTTCGCTGAGGTGGGGGTGGATGCACCCTCAGGGGACACTGATTGCTGGACCCCAGTAGCTGCAGCTGGGGACTCAGGCAGTGGGGACATGGTGTCAGGGACTTCCTGACTTAGCTCCTGGCCCGTTGGTGGCACAGTCTTGAAAGCCTGAGCAACTGGTTTCTTAAGAATCTCCTGGGCAGATGAAGACTGGCTGAGAGCAATCTCTTGGACTAAAGCACTGCTCTGGGGAGCCTGTTGAGTGTCACACAGGGCCTGAATGTCCTGGACAGCCGAGGTGACCCTCAGGTCCACAGGTTGGGTCTGAAAAGATGGGGCTGACAAAAGCTGGGTCAGGGTGACCGGGGTGGCCAGAGTCTGGGAAACCTGAGCAGGTTGAGGCTGCGTTTGAGAGGCTGGAGAAAGATGCTGGAAATTCCTCTCTGAGGCTACAGGGAGGTGGCTCTGTGCAGCCACAGACACCAGGGAGTGGCTTTGAGAGGCCACAAGCACCGGGGAGTGGTCCCGTGAGGCCACCATAGCTGTGGTCTGGCTCTGAGAGGCCAGCGTGTCCAGAGGCTGACCTGCAGGGGACAAGGGGACAGCAGTCAGGCTTGTAGTGGCAGGAATGGCTGGAGGTCGGCTCGTAGAGGCCAAGGAAACTACAGGCACGCCCTTGGAAGTAAGACTAGTTAGGGGTTGACTGGCAGGGGCCAAGGGGACCACAGAGGTGAGGTTGGCTGGGGGCAGAGGCTGGTCCAGGGGAGACGACGTGAACTCAGGCGGCACCAAATGGGTCGATGGCCCTTCCACAAACCTCAGCACACAAGCCTGGCAGCACGGGGACCAGATTCAGGGCCTGGGGCACAACCTCCTTCTGAGCTTTGGATAGCTTCTGCTTTGGGGCCCAGATGCTCGCTGCTCAAGTCTTCAGAATCGCTCTTCTTTTTGACAAGTTGAATTATGCCTTCGTCCTGGCCCTCCTTTGCTAGCTGTTTTTCTACCTGGCCCGAGACGGTCATACCCAGAGCATTGCTTTGGAGGAGTTGCCTGCGGTGCCACCCTGGCCAGATCTGCCTAAAGGTGTCGGGCACGTTGCAGAGCCTGAAAGAAAAGCGCTGGTCGACGGTCTGGCTTAGAGCGTCCGCCATGGCGGCGGAGGGCACGTGCAAGGGCCTCTTCAAGGCCTCTTCGGGAGTCAGTTCGATGTTGCTGGTGTACCATGAGACCCACCAGAGGAGGCTGATGAAGATGATGATGGAACCCACGTACAGCAGCAGGTCGCAGTAGGGCAGGTCAGTGAACACCCCGGTGAGCAGCACCGTCGCGCCCACAGTGTCGAAGACGATGCCCAGCCAAAAGAAATGCCGGCAACGGCCCAGGACCTTCCGCTTTCTGGTGTTGGCGACAGAGTTTCTTGAAAGTTCCATGACCTCCCACTGTCGCCGGCGCCAAGCCCGCTAAGGCGACCAGCGGAGCGGCGCAGCCAACGGCCGACTTGCGGCCGCTGGGTCCCCATGGCAACGCGCCAGGCGGGTGAGCCGCGTAGGGGGCGGGGCCAGTGGGGTAGAGCGCGAGGCCGCCTCTCACCTGCCCGGAGGATAAACGGCACCGCCCAGGAGAATGGCGCATGCGCGGCCGCCTCCTCCGCATGCGCAGTGTGCCTTCTCCGTGCGTCTCTCGCGTGTTGGCTGCGTGCACGCCGGTTGGGACCCTCGGGCGCCGCACGTGGAGAATTGAACACTCGGTGCTTTGGTCTGTGTCCCCGCCAGCATTCCTCTGCCCGCGCCCGGGCCTTCCGCCACGAGTGCGAGATCCTGAAGGAGAGCAAAGGGCAAGGACCTTCTTCTAGTAACTTCCCCCTGTCAGCCGGGAGTACAGCTTGCCCTCAGAAGGTGCTGCCGCTTTTTGAGGCGTTTCCTTTGTGTAGGTGAATAAGTGGCTAGATTAGGGTCTGTTGTTAAAGATTTGAATTCCATTTTTATCTTTTTGCCCAGTAGTGACTGGACCATTTCATACTTCTGCTACTTAATAGCCGACCTAGAGGCGAATTCTTCTGAGGGTTTTCCTGCCCTTTCCAAGTTCTTCCCTTTGATTATCATTTTTGTTGACTGGTTTGCCCAGTCCCTTGGGAATACTTAAATGATTGCTTTCCCCACTGTTTCCAACAGAGTAAGATAGGAAGATTGTGTCAACCATAGAAAAACTGGAGCCTAAAAACGACAATCGCTTAAATGTGAGCTCATTTTTAAGCTTGGGAGTCGGGCTAGGGCGCGGGAAAATTAAGACCAGTTATTCAGGTTACACTATTAATGGAAAGCGGTAAGCAAGTATTGGCCCTTAGTTCCTCAATTGCTAAAGGTGGAGTTTTTTTTTTTAATAACCTTTTTAAGTTTTAGAATAGACTTAGACTTACAGGAAAATTGTAAAGATAGTTTAGAGTTCCTCTATACCCCGAAACACCAAGTATCCGCACTTTGTTGTCTTTTAAATTTATTACAAAGCTCCTCACTTCTTTTTATAGGTGTTTCTACAAGCTTAGGAAGCAATGGTTCATGAACTTGAACCAATCAGTAAGACTGCTTCTGAACCTGAATACCCCTGAAGGATGCTAAAGGGGTACCTGACGGTCACAAGATAAAACATGGTCCATCGTCCTACAATGTCAGTTGTCCTTGATAGTAAGTACTTTAAAACGTTAATATTATAAAGACAAACATAGATTATGGGATAGACGCGGAAGTTTTGGGCTGAATACCCAAGATACGTGTTTATTTCCTGTGCGTTATTCAGGAATATTAATGTGCCACGGTCTACACCATGGGTATAAACATGATACATCTTGCAGAAACCTCAGCTTCTAGTGGTAAGAAACCTGAGAAATTTTCATATTAAATATTTATTTTTATTATATATTTATATCTTTTACTGTGATTTAATACATTACAATAAGCATGGCGATATTATGGAGTAGAGTAGAAAATCCATATACATTTAGTATAATAGAAGACGCAGCTTTGAGCTGTATCTCCAGGATAGGGGCTTGCTTGCTTTTGACATCAGGGATACTTCATTAGAAAAAAAATTTTTTTTTTAAAAGATTTTTATTGGGGAATTGGGGAGGGCAATAGTGTTGGGGAATTGGGAAAAGGGAACATTGTGTTTTTCCAGGCCCCATCAGCTCCAAGTCAAGTTGTTGTCCATCAATCTTCGTTGTGGAGGGTGCAAGCTCAGCTCTAAGTCCAGTCGCCGCTTTCAATCTAGTTTGGGGGTTGGGGGTGTAGCCCACCATCCCGTGTTGCAGACTGAGCCATCTGGCCGCGTGTCGGCAGCTTGTGGCTGCTCAGCTCAAGGTGCCATGTTCAATCTTAGCGGGAGGCGCAGCGCACCATCCCATACAGGTGTCGAACCAGCAGCCTTGTTGGTCAGAGAGCGTGCTCTCACCAGCTCAGCAGCAGGTCAGCTCAGGTGCAGCTCATTGGACCATGTGGGAGTCGAACTGGCAATCCTGTTGCTCAGAGCTCGCGCTCTTAACCAACTTAGCCACTCGGAAGACCCCTTAGAAAATTTCCTTTGAGAAGTACTAATAAACTTCTTTATTTTTTGGGGGGAAATAAAACAATCCTGCCAACAAAAGACCTCTTTATGCCAATATAAAAGAGGGAAAGAACACTAGTAAGCATCAATAGATTTATACGCATGTAGGGTAGCTAGCCTGAAATCTTTGTGTTACCTTCGTGGTATCAGGATATGTCTCCTGAAAGAGGTGCCCCTTGATTTTGGGACCGACTTGGTGCCCTGTCAATAGTGAGTTAAAGCTTTCTTCTTGTAGCCCTGTTTTGCTAAACCTTCTCTGGAGACATATTTCTCAATTAGCAAGCACTGAACCTTTCTTTTTTCTGGACTGTTCCCATGAGTTTTTTGTTCTTTCCTTTCTTATATAATATTTTATAAAAGTATTCATTTATTGAGAGATTTGATGGCTCCAAATCTTAGCATGCTAAAGTATTTCTTTACAGACTTAGGATTGTTTCTGGGGAAAAATCCTGCTACAAATTTAGAGAAAGGGAAACACATTCAGTTAGAAAGTGAATATACAAAGTATTGGGACCCTCCAGGAGAGTAAGTAGGGGATACGGCCAGAGCCCAGAGAAGTCATATTTGATCCATGGGTGAAAGAAAATGCATATAAGTACATACATACTCTTATTAATGTTTTTAATGGTTAATTTTCGTACAATGTTAAAGTAGTTGAAAAAAGTTTGGAAAATTGAAAAATAGGTGTATTAAAATTCAACAACAATATTTTAAGTTTAAAATATAATATTTATACCAAAACCAGAATTTATTACAATTTTATATTCCTGGTTTTAATGGAGGCAATTATCAATAATATTTTAAAAATATACTTCTTGAGGGGCCGGCCGAGTGGCTCAGTTGGTTAAGAGCTCGCTCAAGAGTTTGAGCTCTGAGCAACAGCGGTTCGAGTCCAGCCCGAGCTGAGCAGNCCGGCCGAGTGGCTCAGTTGGTTAAGAGCTCGCTCAAGAGTTTGAGCTCTGAGCAACAGCGGTTCGAGTCCAGCCCGAGCTGAGCAGTCGCTGAGGAGCCAACAGGTAGAAGGATGACTCAGCAAAAAAAAAAAAAAAAAAATGTGAGTAAAAATATACTTCTTTGTGTATCTTTTTTTCAGTAGACAGAATTGCCATGTTTTACAATTTTAATTTTTAATTACTTTAAACATATTGAAACATCATTCATAAGACCCCAGCATTGTGACTGGTATTGTTAAAAAAGAAAACATGAAGTCCATTTCCAAATTTAGATAAGATTACACTAAGCAAAATTCGTGAATCCATTTTAGATCAGAAAACGATGATGATTTTTAAAATATGAATTGTTGATGTTGCATGCTGCCTAAAAATAATTGAAGATGAAATTTCAGACTTAAATTGTCAGAATATTTGAGAGCTAAGTCAGTGGTTGCTTATTATAAATCAGATGTATTCATTGAAAACAATTTTTTCACTAACTAAAATCTGACGACTGTAACTTTTTTATATTTTCATTTCAAAGGTGAAATGAGAATGTCTATAATATTCTAACATTTTTAAGTATGCCTGTTTTTCATAATAATTGATCATTTAATCTAGTGATTCATACTTTTCCATTTTCTTTACTTTTTTGTTTACTTTCTAATTCATATGTCCTGCTGAAGTTTTACATACATCACACATAGTTGCAAAATTACTTTCCTTTGTTGTAATCAAGGGAATAGGCCTTCAAGTAAGCATGAAGCTTTATATTGGGTTGTCGGAAAAGTCATGACGCATTTTTGCAACGAAAAACATAAAAAAAATACGTCATGACTTTTCCGAAAACCCAATATATTGTCAGGCTTTTGCATTGGAAGATTTTATGGTCTTTTAACACTTGATTCAAAACATCATCCTACACTGATACGTTGCATAAAAATGTTCGATCTATTTGCACCAAGATGCTTTTGATTTTATCATATTATGTTTCCTATTTGATATTATTTATTTATTTATTTTTTTAAAGATTTTTTATTGGGGAATTGGGGGAGGGGAACAGCGCTGGGGAATCGGGGGAAGGGGAACAGACAAGTTGCTGTTGTTTTTTGTTCTTCAGTCTAGTTGTGGAGGATGTTGCTTCACTGGCCCAAGTTGGCACCATCATTGCGCTCTTCCCGGGCGAGGCAGATCAGTTGCCGGCTTCTGGACGGCCGCTCACGCTGGCTGCTGGCTACAGACGGTAGCTTATGGCAACCCACTGAAGCAGGGGCTGCAGCCTACGCCATCGCAGGCGACTCACGGCAGCCCAGCTCCAGGTTGAGCTGTTGTTCAGCATCTTAGCTGTAGAGGGCAGTGTCACTGGCCCTCATATGTGGGATCCAAACCGGGGCCCTCTGGCGTCCCAAGCCAGCTCTTAACCATCGCGCCACTCGGCCGGCCCCCTGATATTATTAATATATATAATTATTGGGTGAATGGTAATTTGTGTGGGAAATGCCCTGATTACATCTGATCTTGACGTCCATTGGGTATCCTTATGTGTCTGTAATGTTTTTGAACAGACATGAGAATAGCACATCAGATCGTTGAATGTGCAAAAAACAATTTTTTTAAGTTCTTTATAAAATATTTTAAATGGTTATTATATTTGAATTCATAGACACAGAAGTTTTGCATATAAAATTATGAGCAGAGCTAGGCACAAATGTCGATTCGGGGGAAAGAGATGATAGTTTCTATCCTTTTATACACCTGCCATAGTTGCTGCATTATCATTTTTCTGGCTATGAGCATCTGTATGTTAATATCTTTTTCCAGTTAATAATTTCCTAAGCTTATTATATGGAAAATTTTTTTCACTTCAATAAAATCAATACATCTTTCTCCTGTTGTTACGATAGTACCCTTACTGTGATCATATCTTTTAATCTGACACATTTGTTTATGATAGGTTATATTTTACAATCAAAAGTAGGGAAGGGTGTTTTCCTTCTTATGTTGTCAATTGTATTTCAGGTCTAATGAGATTTCCTACTAACATTATAAATTCCTTTTAAATTCTATTACACAAATAAGGCACAGATTCCTGTCTATCATCAGCTATATCAGCTTTATTATAAGGTATAAATTCATCTAAATCTGGAAAGATTCTAGGGTTTAGTCTTCTAATGCTTTCTTGTGATCCTTTAAGACGTATACTTTTTGCGTGAAACTACAGCGTCTAACATCACTGGCAAAATCTTCTGCCTTTTTATTCTCTGATTTTATCACTCTCTGCTGAGCATCATCTAGTAAACTATCAACAGTTTGAGTATTTTTAAACTCTTCTGCTTTAGAAAACATCATGATGAAATATTGAATCTTTGAGGCCATAAGTTCTGTTTACATTCTTACAATCTTTGAAAAAATTTTTGACTTGCTAATATTTGATTCTGTTGAATTACTGCCTACAAAATAACACATAGGAACAACATAAAGACAAAGATTCTTTGGAATAAGAGAGTCAGTAAAAATGAATCAACTGGCCTCTAAATTTTTTTTTTAAACTAGTTTTTTGAAATGTTCAGCTATCATGTGAAATGGTTTCTCAGAAATCTGAATCTATCCCTAGCCTAGGGTCACCAGCTTTTTAGAGAAACTATTGCAGGACACAGACCAAAAAACTATTTTCTAATGTACAATAGATAATTATACACTTTCGTGTTTTGTTTTTAACACCAGAATGTATAATGTAGGCATTTTAAAGTAAGTATATATTTTTATTATTTATTTTTTTGTAACAAATATGCTATTATTTAAACAAAACAACAGTAGAACTAGTTAACAGTGGTAGGAAACCTTTGTAAATTTAGAGTCTAAAAATTAGGGGGTTCTAGTATAGGCCCAGAAAATTATAATTCTTCAACTTTTGGGGCTCAGTGGAAGAAGTTTATAAATGGCCATCTTTTATGGACTGGAACAACCACATTCTCTTTTACTTATTCCAGCTTTTTCAAAAAAATAATTGTCCAAAAGAAAAACACTGTATTCTGGTCTCTGGAGTGTTTTCTGTTTGTCCATTTTTAGTTTAGGCGTGAGACAGTCATGTTTTTCATTTGTATTACGATAATGTCCTCAGTAGTGAGAGGTATCCCCAATACAAGGGTCTA